GTGGAATAACCCTCTTCCCACTGACCAGTGCATCTCCTAAAGATTTTTCCATAAGCAATCATAAGTAACTTGTACTGTGGAAAAGGATATCAAAAGAACCCTATTTTATAGAAAACATTAGAGGGATTCAAAAAGAAAAGGAAAGAAGAAAGAGAAGAAGAAAGAGAAAGAAAGAAGAAAGAAGAAGAGAAAGAAGAAAGAAAAGAAGAGAAAGAAAGAGAAAGAAAGAAAGAAAGAAAGAAAGAGAAAGAAAGGAAAGAAAGAAAGAAAGAAAGAGAGAAGAAGAAAGAAAGAAAAGGAAGGAAGGAAGGGAAGGAAGAAGGAAGGCAAGGAACGGAAGGAAGGAAGGAAAGGAAGGAAAGGAAGGAAGGAGGAGGGGAAGGAGGGAAGGAGGAAGGAAGGAAAGGAAGGAAGAAGGAAGGAAGGAAGGAAGGAAGGAAGGAAGGAAGGAAGGAAGGAAGGAAGATGAGACAAAAGAGAAGAAAAGGATAAGAAAAGAAAAAAGAAAAAGAAAAAGTAGTATCATCCAGTCTAGCACACTCTGTGGGTCAGAAACTTAAGTGGCATCCTTGATCGCTCCCTCTCCCTCATAGCCACTCTGTCAAGTCCTGTGGATTCACCCCCTCCAAAATTCCCGTATCCATCCACTTCTCTCCAGCCCTCCCCCAGGCTACAGCAATGGCTCACTGACTGGCCACTCAACATTCCCATGGCCCCAGCACACCCTGCCTACTACAGGCAGAGTGGTCTATTCACACAGCAAATCTTAGTGCGGCATTTTTTCTTGCTTGAAACCCTTGATCTCATGGTATCGGACCAGCCTAACCCTCCAGCCTTATCTTAGATTCCCTGCCCCTCTCATCCTGAGAGCTGGTTCTTTGAGTTTTTCAACTGCATCTCCTTTCTTCCTGCCATGGCGACTTGGCACATGCTGTGCCTTCTGCCTGGACAATCTCCTCCCATTCCTCAAATGAAACCATCCTTAACCCTGAAATCTTAGCTCAACTATCCAACATCAGCCACTCCAGGAGCTAGTATTTCTGGGAACCGTAGCCGAGTCAGGGTCCTCTATCTGTGCCCTCACAGAACGAGGTTCTTCCCCATCCCTGCCCTTCTCTCAGTTTGTGTCTGGCGAGTGCTTTGTGGGAGAGACAGTCAATCTTTGAGAGCCGGAGTGGCTTTATGTTTATGATCGCAATCACACCGCAGAAATTGAGAAACAGGTGATTTTTATGAAAATCTTGTCTCATAATTCATCCGTTTTCTCCATTCTGTTCACTATGATCTCATGGTTTCATTTCATCTTCTTTTCTAAAGTTGTTAGAACAGACTACAGTTGGGTGAGTCAACCTGTTCTAATGGAATTGCTAGAGCTTCTCTCTCATAAAACCTTTCATTTGTTGTTGTTGTTGTTGTTTCCATACCGTAATTGCCACATATTGCTCTACAGGAATCTTTGACAACTGGAATTTTCTGAGGTAAAAAATTCCCAAGAAAATGTCTGATCTTATCAGTGCCCCAGAACTTTCCGAGCCATCTGAACCCAGTGTCCCAAGCTTGCTCCAAGAGTTACTTCAGGGAAAGGGTGGAGAAGAAACTTGATGACCTCCCTTGTTAGATGGAGTGCTCAATTCTCAAGTGCTCTTGGCCTTGGCATCTTGTTCCTATCTTTGGTTGGCTAATTATGGCTAGGTTAAGTATTACTGGGGTGAGGTGAGAGAGGGCATTCGCTTCTGGCTGATGAAGCTGAGTTGCACATAGATGCCTGGCCTCTCTATGTATTCTCTAAATCAGGTAAGACTGCACTACCTGCCACAGATTCAGAAGTCCTACGTGTATTCAGAGCCTTAACTTCCATTTAAGTTTCAGACAACCTGAACCATCCAGGCAGACTACAGAGATAACCTCCCCTAATTTCTTGATAGAAGTGCACTATGACTCTTCAGTCTACCCTTCCTCACTGTGTTGGGTTCCAATACCCAAGAAGAGTCTTTACATGTAGTTTGTTCAGTTACTGGCAAGGTTGGTATTCAAGAAATATTCTGGTGTGAAGCATTGAGATTAGAGTAAAATTAGCCAACTAAGAACAGGAGGCCAGGTGCAGTGGCTCATGCCTGCAATCCCAACACTTTGGGAGACCAAGGCAGACAGATCACTTGAGCCAGAAGTTCAAGACCAGCCTGGACAACATGGTCTCTACAAAAAAATACAAATATTAGCTGGGTGTGGTGACACAGGCTGCAGTCCCAGCTATTCAGGAGGCTGAGGTGGAAAGATTGCTTGAGCCTAGGAGGCGGAGGTTGCAGTGAGCTATGATCACACCACTGCACTCCAGCCTGGGCAACAAAGCAAGACCTTGTCTCAAAAAATGTGAAGAAAAAGAACAGGAAGCCTGCCTTACTGCTTACTTGGGATGAACTTGACAAGCACTTTAAGACCAGAAAATATTTCCAAAAGTCAAGTGTAGGGGGTTGGGAGGTGGGAGGTGGGGAGAGAAGGAAAATGCAGTAGGCATAGGGGCTGCCTAAGAGCATTAAAAACTCCTTGAACAAAGTGAGAGAAGTCTAAAAAGTCCTCAAAGAATACTATGAGATTATTTAGCAACATGGAGACAAACACTAGGAGAAACAGCCAGAAGAAGCTAAAGAGTGGTAGAGAGGGAGTGAGGATTAATGACTTTGTCATTATAGACTTCTCGGAACTGTTGGCTTTTTAAACTTTGCACATAGTATTTTACCAATGAAAATACAAGTTTAAGTCATCAAGAGTAAAATGTAGTATTTAGGCCTTACACGAGGGTATTAGTTCACATTATCCCTGGTGTTTTCAGAAGTAATAAACACTACCTTCTCCTGAAGTGATAGCACAGAAAGAAAATCCAAGGTATAAACACCACTGTGATCCTCTGATTAAAACATGCTAGCATAGGAACCATTGGAGAAGGCAAAAAATGCTAGAGAAGAGGTGGGAAGCAGGTGAAAATAGGTCTCCAGTACCAAATGTTGCCCTGAACATCAGTGAAAGGAGAAAAGCAGGGAGAGAACTGACAGGCAAGTCACTGATGGAGTAAGGGGACAGGAGGGTTCTGTGTGGACCTAGCTTAGGAGGTCTTATCTGGGAATCACCATTGCATACTCAGGCAAAAAAGAACACCGCCAGGCACCAGCTGGTGGAACCCCAACACTCAGGAAGGGGAAGGTCAGGGGAGGGCAGAGACTATGGTGCCCAAGCCTGACACACCAGCTGTCTTGCAGAGTTATCAGATGATCCTACAAGCTAGATCCTACAAGATGATGATGGGTGGCTGCCTCTTGGGTTATAAGCAACCTGATTCAGCAGCAAAAATTAACAAAAATGTCTTTCTTCCCTGCATTCCTTCCACTAAAACCCTGAGAGACAGAAGAACATCACAGTTTCAAAACATACCTATTTTATCAATACTGGGGTGGTTAAAGAAATAATCTCAAATATGCTTTAGATTTAACACCAACATTTCCAAAATACTCTAGATCTAGATGCATCTGAAAGGAAAACGCATCTTCCGTTGCAAAAGGATTGCCTTTGCTTCCTCTAATTCAGCCTAAATACTGGCTATCATCTGATCCCCAGATCTGCCCTCTCTTGGAACTGAGCCATATAGCACAAGAAAAATAAGAAAGGATCGATAAGCGATAAAGCTTCAGGAGATGTAAAAGCAGCATGTAAGGATAAATATGGCACTAATTAACCTTTACCGATGTTTTCTGCAGCCCATAATAAAAGTGTAATGAGTTCAAGACTTAAACAACAAAGTCTACAGGAGTGAGGTTCTCTTAGCAACAGTGAAATTCCTGACGGGACCTACCTGACCTCCCCTGGTAAGCTCGGCTTTCCTCTTGTTCCTTATCTTTGAATATTTCACCTGGAGACAAAGGGAAAGCCTACTCACCAGCAGCTATTTCTATTTCCAGACTCTTAGGCAACACACAGCAATTTCCTCTAGCATTTTTCCTTTCCATTTTGTAGCATCAGGGTTTCATCATGTTGCCCAGGCTGGTCTTGAATTCCTGGGTTGAAGCAATCTGCCCTCCTTGGCCTCCCAAAGTGCTGGAATTATAGGCATGAGCCACCACGCCTGGCCTCCTGTAGTATTCTTTACAAGTATTCTCCAACTCATTCCTTTCCTACTACTCATTAGGTTTTCAAGCCTGATTCTGATTTTGATTGTAAGTCACATCCAAGCTGTACATAAAGTATCAAGCAGTTTTACATCAGCATTACTTTCCCTAATGTTGGGTTACACTGCTAGCTCCAGCAGCCTCCAGCCTCCATCCCTACAGACTAAACCTAAACTCTTCTGGGTGGCTCTCAGGTCCTACCTCACACAGGAGCCCAGACTAGCCATGCCCTCCTCGTGTATTCTAACCTGTAGCTTCTACCTCAGCTAGCTGGGGCCATTGTCAATGGCACCTCCACTCTCCTACCCACCACCATACTACACACGGACCACCTCCTTCTCTACTTTTCCCAAGATGTCTTCTCCCTCCCATTC